GCATTTAGAAAGCGAAGTTTAAACAAGCCATTTATCTTTACGCAGGGCAGAGCATGGCACATCATTACATTAAGAGGGAGAGGCTGACTCATCAAGGTGAAGATGTGAATCGTTGCTCTGTGCACTGCAACCTGAAGAGGAGAAAACTATCGATTGTGAAACCCCAGAGGAGCTGGATGAGCAAGGGCATGGCTTTACAGTAACGTCAGACCCGCCACCTCTTGTTTCAACATCACCCCTGGGTTTAAATATTCAGGCATGAACCAATTACATAATGTCATAATAGAAGAAATTACATTGAGGTCTAATTAAAATCAATTCACTCACTGCCATATGGACACCAGAAGGTACAGTAAGCTGTACTCCGATTGGTTGTTGGGGCACAAAAAATAAAGGCATGCCTATTTATGCCAGATGAGACAAAACACCAGAGTTTTAGAGTAACGTCCAGAGTTGTATCTTTAAATCTACCTCTTGTTGGTCTTCCATCTTGATCATTTGAGGCTCTTCAGAACCCAAAGCACATTTTGAGACCGTTAAATAAATGTCACCTCGTGCACGTAGCGTGGAGAAGCAAAAAAAAAAAACTACTTTGCCCAATTTTCTCATTCACCATTTCAAGCTGGTGAAATGATCTTTCAAATGGCATCCAGAACAGCAATCTCCTGACCGCATTCACAGAGCAGGTTAGAGAGAGAGAGATGTGTCTTTCCACGAGGATTTAGCTGCATGCTGCTGGCGAAAATTCTCTATGCTTCCTCTATTTTCTAATCCTTTCTAATCCCTGCCTGCTAGCAAGCACATTACTAAAAAGCTACCCATTTCATTGTATCTATCTTTACTAAGTTTATTGCTTTCCTTAATAATTTATTATTATTATTAAGGCAAAGGTAAAAAATACTGTCAATAAAATAAACCATTCCATGAAATCCTTTCCATAAAAAATATCGTCAGATTTAAGAGTAACGTTTTGATTCAGATTTGTTTAAGTCAATTCACCGGTCAGTGGTATTATAACAAAATGGAAGTAAATGTGAATGAGAGAAAGTGTAAAGGCTATATGTAAAAGGTCAATAGCGGAACCAAAGGTTGGAAGTCAACCTCAAAAGGTTGGAAGTCAACCTCCCAACTACACCCGATAAAGAACAAAGCCTAGAGAGCTTCAGAGAAAGGGTTTTTATGACTGAGAAGCTATATACAGGGCTCTAGAGTGCGACCAATTTGAAAAATTGACTAATTTCTCAATGGTGCGACTAAAAAAAATCAAAGGTTGCACCGGTGCGACCCGTCGTTCGAGGGGAAAAAAAACTAAACTCCGTGAGTCTCCCGGTTGTTCAACAACAGGCACATATCGTGGTCTAAACCAAACAGAGATAGTGAAGAGCGTATCCCGTCCCACCCCCCCTTCTGATTGGCCATGGTCCAGATATTCCTGTATGTGTGTGAACGTACGTTTGAAAATGCTTGTGATGCAGTCAGACAGAGAGAGGTGAGTCCATCAGGTAAACAGTGGATGTAGCCGTGGATTACGAGAGAAGATGAAAAGAACGATTGACAGATTTTTCATTAAGAAAGATAAGTTAGGGCCTGATCGTGAAAATAATAACCAATGCTCTGACACGGAGCCATCAACCTCCCCTGTGACTGGCTCTAATACATTTAGAATTGAAACTATAAACTTTTCTATAAAACACATAACATGCCGCGATAAATGCACTGCTCAAGTGTCCCCTTTCAGCGGCAGGCAGCTGCAAACAGATCATCAGACGAGGCCGAGATGAGAATTAAGTTTTACGTTGCCTACAATATTGCAAAAGAAGAACTCCCCTTCACTAAATTCAAGTCAAAAATAATTCTTATGAAGAAAAATGGCTTGAACGTAAACCCGACGTACAGCAATGATGTCGCGCGCACCCAATTTATAGGAGTCATCGAAGATACATTGAAAAAAAAAACGTCTGTGCAAATTGTGAACAGTGCGTACATGGCACTACTGATCGACGGAGACACATATATCGCCACAAAGGAATGAGTCATTGTGTACAGTCGTATCTTGCGGAAAGGAAGACCGATGAATATATTATTGAAAATGTTATGGAGCCTATGTCAATAATATGCCTACCGTCTCGTTACTGCATTAACCATAATATTCTGATACTTAAAAATAAAAAAAATAAATAAATAGGCTGCATTATAAACTCTTGATCTGGGTAGTAAATGGTATTATCGTTTTTATTTGTTTAATTAGGAATAAATGCTGCTTCAAAGAAAGCATTTGCTGCTCTTGGGGACCAAAATCAGTTTAAAGTTTAAATTTCAGCTCAGTAAAGCAGTTTAAACACTTTTTCAGTAAGTTTTAGTTACCTTTCTTGTAGAATTGTGCTTCAAATAAAGAACTTTATTTTGACCAGGTTGTTAGTTAATCATTTACAAGTCAATATTGTCTATATGGACAGTGATTTAAAAAAAATAAATGAATAGATAACTAAAAAAAGTGAACTTGTGGAAATGCGGTGTTAAATGTGATGCAGTTGAAAATTTGGATGCACCTAACTTTTGTGCTGGTGCACCTAAGAAAAAAATTTAGGCGCACCAGTGCAACCAGTGCAAAAAGTTAGTCTAGAGCCCTGTATATATCATTAAATGCATTTAAAACAATGATCTCCAAAGCAGTGGAGACAGGTTTTCTATGCTTCTTTATATGATTGGTTTGGTGGTTGCCAGGAGAATGATGCTTATTGAACTAGGGCTAGGCAAATAATCTAATAATGGTTCAAATGTTTCCAGATTGATTATTTCGATTCCCTTTAAAAACACTATGTCATGTGGAGTCATGTCAACCGGTCCGTTAAATAAAAATGAAGTTATCAAGGGAATCAAATGACTCTAATTAATTCACTTCCTGTTTGTGATGTATTTCTTGTTCCGTCTCAAAGATTAACCAAAAATAGGATTATACTTTTGTCAATTACAATTTGGAGGAATATTATTCCAAGTTCATCCTTTCTGTTATTTATTAATCAATGAATGATTCCTTTACTTTATTCTCATGACTCTTTAACCACTTTACTTTTTGTAACTTGATTTTTGAATCATTTACAATCTTGCATTGCTCCTGTAGGCTAAAAGAGGCTGACAACTGATTGATGGTAGAAGTTAAAGCTCCTCTGCTGTTAGTTATAGCTGAAGTTCCATTGGAGACAGGCACCCTCTCTCATTGGGTGGACTCATCGATTCTTTTAAATCTAAGAAAGGAAACTAAAAAGGAAATTTCAGTTTCCAGGCAGCATCAGGACCACCGGCTCTCACTCGCTTTCAGTGGCATAACTGCAGCGAACCTCAATGACAGCCAATACTCTCCACTCCATCGTGCATTTTCTTTCTTTTCCATAAGCTTTAAGTTTGCTGTGAAGCTGCACCTTTGAGTTAACTTTTGCCAGTAGAAACAATCCCTGAATCTCAAATTCTTCAAGACATCCTCAAAAAAAATCACTGAACCTCTCAGGAAACACTTTCTGTTTAACAATGTAATCGAAAGGAAATCAATCACAGAATGTTTCAGTGAATATCTTCTGTCTCAGTCAGCTATATGGGTGTATTGCTCTAACCTCCTTTTGTTACTCCTCCAATGTCACATTGATTCCTGATTGATGGATTCTCAGGCTAGACATTTACTTAAAGCTTGGAACTCATATTCAGCTTGCTCTCTGCATTAGCGTGTGAATGCAAGGGCTAGCTACTTGTTAGAATAGTCTCTTTTAACAAATCCTGAACCAACATGTCTCTCTGATGTTGAATGTTTGCTGGGAGAGAGAGCACTATGCCAGAGCTCTGTTTTTGATGATAAAATAATGCATTACTATTTTTAGTTCATTGATTGGATATTTGCTCGTGGATGTGTTTCTTTCCCTCACATCTGCCTTTTCACAGGCGTAAACCAATAATGCTACATACATGAGTTACTATTAATAAACTAGTGATTCTACATACAGGAGTTATTCAAAAGAGAAACAACAAAAACATGGTTCACAAGCGTGTATTAAACCGAGGAGGATGTACCGAATGGTGCGGTAAAAAAAAACAATTATTGTGGCATCTCTAATTTGGAAAAAATAAATTAAATAAAAACTCTGATTTTGATAATATTCCCAGTATTGCACTCCATTAGGCACATGTGACCTCGCGCTGTTTTCAAATAATGTCTCACGCGTGATGCTAGACGCAGTTTGAAAACACAGACAAAGTTCTCTACGATTCTGTCTAAAAAAATCCTGACGCTGATCTATATTGAGGTGAGAATTCAACAATCACTGGATGCTACCCCAGGCAGTTGTGATGTGTGAAAAGATCTGTGACACGACAGCTAAGACAATCGTGCAGTCAGAACCCAGCTTTAGACAGGGCTGTGAGCGTGTGTTTAACTGAAGCATGTCTATGATGTTTAAGTTAAATAAAGCTGTGCTTCAAAGTGTTCTTACTTGGTTTGGGAACAAATATTCCATTACAGGATAGTAAAAATCATCCTAAATATACAATGCAGGCAGAAAATATGTTTATTTCAAAAAGTTATTTGGTTTCCAAGCCTCTGTTCATTCTATAATGCGGTGTTGGTCCCTCTAAATTAAATTTTGCAAATTTGTGAACCTGTGCAGAGCAGCTTCCTGAGGTCAGAAAGGTCACTTCCGAAGTGAACTCATACCAGGAGAGTAGTTATTTATGACGTACACATGGCCAACTGTTCACGCTGTTGATTATATCCTCTGATTTACAGAGTGCTATCTCTGGGGGTCAAAAGGAGTCAATGCCCAGAATGGAAGACGCCAGTGGTTGCAAATGTGAATCCTTGATTATCCCTTAGTCCTTCTCATTATGTGGCTTTGTAGATTGATCATAAACATATTCTTACAAGGATTTCTCATCAAATATAATAATAACAGAACTTATTTAATTTTAAATCTGGAGGCTTGTTGTAAAGGTTACATCAGCTATTCCTCTTTTCATTTCCTGTGGCCCATGTGGTAGAGCATTTTGCTAAGAATGCAAAGTTTGTGGGTTCAAATCCCAAGGAAGGCAGGAACCAACAAAAAATAAGTTCCTTTATTCAAATGTAAGTCGCTTTGGATAAAAGCGTCTACCAAATGTAAATGTAAACTAGCGAAACAAATACTTACATGTGACAAAAAAAAATGATGCTCCTCCTTCTCACACATACTTAGAATGACAAGCATCTGAGCCTTACAGCAGATTATAGTGAGAACAAATTGTATAGCCACAAATCTAGACAAACTGGAAAAGTTTTCCGGTGGAAAAGGGGAATTATTTTATTGAATTTTCCCTCACTGTAGAAGATAGCTGCACAGACACCAACTGTGGGGTGAGGTGGCTACAATGCAATCTTTATTCACAAAAAAAAAAAATCTCCCTTTTTTAAAAGAAAATTAAAGAAAATACTGATTCGCTGGTACAATAAACTATATATTACTTGTAAATTAAATCAGCACAGTTTTTGTTAAATTAAAAAATAAACAACCTTGGAGGACGTGCCTGAAAGATGAAGGAAAACAAATTTAACCCACCAATATACTTTCTCTCCAATACTAGAGACTAATAGAAAGCACCCTGGTGAGAATGTCTGGATGAAAGCAATGCCAACAAAATAAGTGGGCATATAAAATCTTCTACAAGGTCATACTTGAAAAGCATTCATTTTCCACATTGGCATCTCAGGGCTCTTCTATGTCTGTTTCTCTCTGATACCACCATCAATGTAGCAATTACCATTCAGTGGCTAATGGCAGGTTAAGAATTAATGCACAATGCTCTGCCATTAAGAAATTCTTGTCAGAAACACATAGCATTTGTCGGATTTTTAACTGCTGATGCCTGATCTGAGAAGCAGCTTTATGGATAGTTCTTTAAAAAAGCCATTTCTCATCCTCCAGCAAGAAAGAAACCATGCAAGAAAAGTGCTCTTTATCTCCATTCCAATCCTCAGAAATGTCGAAAACACTCTACTTCGGAATTCTTTGAGTTTATCTAAAGGGACAGTTCAGCACAGATACCAAATCCTGCAGAGACTCCATGCATCAGCTTGCAGACCAAGTGACATTTGCTAGCTAACTCTTTATGTCACTCAGCTAAACTAGCACTGACAGGACTGAACTTGCTAAAAAATTTCACCAGTCGTTTCACTTGGGTAAGTGTTTGAAATTAAAGGATCAAACCTAATAGGATTCGTGTGCTTGCCGTCAAACAGCATTTCAATCAGAGGGAGTCTTTGGAAGCATTCTTGATTCTACCCTGCTCTCATCCCTGAGTCAAGGCTGGTTCACCATCTCTCAAGAAATATGGGAGCTTCTAGCACACACCAGTGACCCATCGAGTCTTATTTGGCCTCTGTTCCATGAACCCACAGTGATTCAGAGTCCACCAGCTGCATGAACAACGAGGCCAGTTATTGAGAAAAAGGCAGACAGCAAAGGTCATGCGATATTGAAAGGCTGAAGATGAAAAATGTTCCTTGAAATTTCTTTATATGAGCTTTGGTTGTGTTGTAAATAACATGACTTATAGGTCTTGGATTTACCTCCACATTTCGAGCCCATGAGCAAGTTCCCATGAGCAAAAAGAGCCATTTTTTGTTTAATCTGACCACATGACATTTTCCAATGCCTCCTTAATATCATCCACGTGGTCTTCTGCCAATGTCTGGACAGAGAAAAAAAACTGGAAAATGAACTTAATAATGCTAAAAATTAAGTGCTAGCGCTCTTCATATAATTGAGGCAGTTCAAGGCTAATTCCAAAGCTTTCCCTGGATAATTGATTCTATATGTGGTAAGATCTTACTTGGACCCGCAATCTGAGGGAGATTGCCAGCCATCTTGAATTTATTCTATTTTCTAATAGTTTTAATGCATCTCCAGTTGTGCCCCTGGTGTCCTTAGACACACTTCAGTTTCAAACTTTAGTTGTGGAGATGTGACCTAGAGTTTTGGAGAGGTACAGAGTTCAACAGTAAGGTTATTAATGGCATGTACCCAGGTTTTTTTTTTTTTTTTTGTTGAAACTTTTTTGTTTCTAATACCATGCCAAAAAAGTGAGTCCACCAATATACATTTTTCATATAAACTGCATCCACAAAATCCTTGAAAAGGCTGTAAAGACTCTATAAAACTAATAGGTGTAAGTCAATCCACAGCGTTTTTAAAACGAGCACTTAACATTGAAGTTTGCGAAAACACTAACGCCTCTGTTTGGTGATAAGGGGCATGTAATTCTGTTCATGCTGTAAGCCATGATAGCAAATTAAACACCAAAATAGTCATCACTTCGGCCACCATAACAGTTGTTGTTTGTTAACAAATGAGTGACAGAGGATGACAACATGAAACTTCACCTCCAGAAAACCCCCGTTTAACTGCTCACAAGGACCCAGGGTGCGGAGCATTTTAAGTACGATTCACCTTAGCCCGTGTTTTCAAATTGTGCAATTATGTGTGGACGGAGAGTGTAATGCACAGAAAAACACCAGTTTTCAAAAAAACAGGTACATGTAGACAGAGCCTAAATTTCCATATCATGTACCAAATAAAAGTTTACTATTATAACTTAAGCAAGTGAACATAACCTCTGTTTGAAATTGAATGTTTACCATCTGCAACATTCTTAAACCAGCCTCAAATGGGCAGTAGATGTATTTCCCTGTTGGTAATTTTGGTTGCTAATAATAAACGATAGACAACTTGAGACAATTCAATGAAAATTCTGGCATTTTCACAAAAAGAGAGAGATCAGAATGTAAGAAAATAGGGGTGTAACGATATTTCGTGGGACTATATTTTTCTAAACAAAAATGCCACGATATGCATCTTCACTAGGTGGCAATAAGTTAAATCTCACTAGAGCTGCCAAATGCCATGTGTACATTCACAAAAGTTACAAAAGAGTTACAAAAATAGCTACAAATTATAGTTAATGTAGAACTGAATATTAACAATATGGGTTGAAATCTGTCTGACAGATCAAGTCTGACGTTTTGCAGCACTTTGATTTTCAGCTCTCGCCTACCGGGGTCCCCGCGTCAGCCACTTGAGGGAGAAAAGCTCTGGCTTTCTTTCACCACTGTACCAAAGCAACTGCTGTATGCTCAACAATGCAGAACTTGCTGTAACTCGTATCTGGTCACTGACCATCGATGTGGTTAAGAAAAGCTTGATTGATAGCTTGAAAAACACATATATCATGGCAAACACACAGCCATCATGTGGCATTGAGCCCAGAGGTGATAAAACTTCAAACGTCAAACTTGATTTCATGAGTAGCGCTGACGTGCTGAAGAAACAGTAAATGTTAAACCTCTCGTGCTACGCTTTCTCTCATAATGTGTGTGCGTGTATGTGTGTATAGCTAAAAACTATTTCTTTAGTTTTAGTTTATTGAACAGTTTTTGCTTTAGTAGATTTTGCAGTTAAGAATATGAGTCGTAGGTGCCAGCTTTTAATGTAAAAAAAAAAATACTTATTTTAGATATTTAGTGCAGTTTTACTGCAGTACTAACAGACGTAATTCTAATTTAATTTGTCTGAAATTAAACATTATAATTGTTTTAGAAATAAAATATTCTTATCGAATCAAGAGGTTGGTGTATTGTTCCACGCCCAGAAGAAAGTTAAAAACATTTTTTTTAACCAGGTGCTCTACAGTAATGTCTTTTATGCAAAGAATCGCTAAAAATAAGGAATAATCTTATCTATAACAAAAGGAATGTACCAAATGCCACTGTAAGTCTGTACTTCATTTGCAGAAGTGTCTAGTTTGCTTATCTTGTTTCTGACATTCAAATATGAATTTCAAAATATATATATTACTTTCATATTAAAAACCGAGGCATATGTTTATCCAATTGTACGCGGGATATAAGCACAACACAACAACTGAATAGAGATATAGATTTGCAGGATTACAAAATACCCCAGTATAGAGAAACTTCAGTGACAATCAGCAGCATTGTTTGGGTTCCTGATTGCAAGCGGTCGATACTTTCACCTCATGAGCTTCAGCAAGTTCCGTCTTTGAAGAGCATTGATTTAACAGCAGGGTGTTTAATCCATTGTCCATCCTGTCAACCAACCGCTGTGTGAATCAAGAAAAGCTTCTCAAATATTTCTCATCTACTTCATGCAGTATTCTCCCCTTTGTTCTTGAAGGACATCGAACAAAACGAACATCTTCATTAAAAATTGTTTCACTGTAGTAGAAGTAGTTTGGCTTATTTAGACTCAATCATCCATGAATACAGTGCAACTGGAATGGATTCACAGCATTACTTGTTTTCACTTTATTAAATTACAGACTCTGTTTTTGCATTTTTGCATATATTTAAAAAAAAAATTTTAAAAAGTGAAATGTGGATAATTCAGTCTGAGGTCAGACTTTTGAGGAAAAACTCTGAATATGATTCTCAAAGCTTGGCACATTTTTGGGGCAGTTTCATTTGTCTTTGCAATACCTTTCAAGCCATTTGAATTTTGCGCCATGACTGGAAAAAAACTTACATCCAATTGTCTGGAAGTCACTCTTTTGTCATTTTGGTTTCATTTTTAGGGTCATTGTCTCACTCAAACAGAAACTTTTTTCAGGACTAAGGTCAAGAGACGTCCTTCTCTCAATACTGACTAGTCCCTACAGTTCCCTACAGTTCAAATGTAAAATGGCCAGGTGATGAGCAGAGCCTGGTTTCCTCCAAAAGGACGCCTGGTAGTTCAATATTTGTCTTAGGCCATATAGTTCTTCTTTCTCATAGACAGTCCAGGTGGTTTACCATGTACAATATACCAAGGAGAACGATAATATTTATAGTGCTAAACTCTTAAACGATGACAACTGTACTACTCCACCTTCATGAAAAAGCAAAATGAACGATCAACAAACCTCTGCTTACAATAACATCTAAATCTAAAAGGGCTGCTGGACAATAAACTGCTGTGGAAACCATGGGCAATGAACAAATTACACAAATGAACAATGAACAAATTAGACTATAGCTACGTAATGCATTGTGTCATGTAT